CGGTAACAAATTGAATTCTTCATTACTTTTAGAAAATTTACGAGTAAGTTCTTTCTTATCATTACTCAAATAGGAAGCTAATTTTTCAAGGCTGCTAGACATAAACCTAAAAGAGTCAACAAAGCGAAGATTAATTTTTGTTTCAGCAACTTTCTTTGTGAATGCTATATATTTTTCTTTGTTTACAGGTAACAAGTTTATTTGTCCTTCAAAATTGGTTGCTAGAACTCTAATAAAAAAATGACAATCATAACCAGATAAATTATGAAAAACTACTGGAATTACATAAGAATCTTTATAATTTACATTGCAGTTTCGGTGAGCAGCACCGCGAAATTTACCAGTAAAATGGCAATGATCGCGGTGTTTAATATCATTCGCTGTAAAAATTTTCTCACAAATGTGATAAATTGTAGACAATTGAAATTCTTGATTTTTTTGTTTAGTTAATGGTTCCATTGGTACAATATTATTTACAAGATCATTAACATCATATGATAAGCATTTTAATTCATTTAGAAACCACTCAATACAATTTTTACCTCGATAAAGATTAAATTTGCTTAGTGATTCATCGAAACTGCAATGTAAATAATAAGCCACACTTGTTGGAACATGCTTTTGATATGCGGATGTATTAGTATGTGAATCATCTGCAGGCTCCAACAGACACTCAATATCTGCATATACGACATATACAACTCTTACTTTAAAACGATAATTTTTGAAAGATAAAATTTTATTGTTTTTATCTGGTAAAATTCTCTACATTTGTTTACCTTTTCACACGACAATCTATGTCGTTCAAAAGATTTTTCAAGAGTAAAGTGACACAGGCATCTGTCACATATTAAAATACGATGTTCGTTTCGTGAAACCTGAGAACTTATTAAACGTGATAAATTTTTCACAAGCGTAAAATGATAAGTTGATTTTTGTTTGCTTCTTTCAATTTCCTCATGGATAAAATTTTGATCATTATCATTAAAATCATATATTTCTACGGCAAACAGATGAATTACCGGTAATTCTGATTTTTCTCTACTTAAATAAAGAAGAACAATATCTCTTTTTTTCTCATTTTTGTCTTGTTCCTTACCATAAATGTTAATGCTTAATTTGTTCAGTTTCTCAAATTTTTCGATATCTTCAAACCTAATAGGAAATTCTATATCATCGTATTTTAATACTTGACTGTAATGCGGATATGAATCAGTCAGTGAAACATTATATTTAGCAGGATGTAACGCTGCTACAATGGACCAAAGAAAGCAAAAGGAATCGTTGTTTTGAATATTGATTATTGCTTTCTTTAATCTAATTGTTTTAGGTAATTCTACATACGTCGATAATCCTCCTAAAAATGCAACGTATTTATTAATATTTATAATTAAATTTAAAATTTCAACCAAAGAGACTCTAAATTCTGCCAAATTACTCGCTGTACCTCGTGTTGATTCGTTGATGATGAAATATCTTCACCCTTCTTCCTTCTGAGATGATCAATTTTTTTTTTGTATCGCCATCAATAAACTAAGAATTGATGTTAAGCACATTTTCTCAGACACTCTCGCACTGTTCTTTAAAATTTTCTTTATAAGTTTTATATTTGTTTTCCAAATTTTAACCACTTTTCGCACTTTTTAATATTTAGTGTTTTCTCAGCGCGCAATAAAATATAAGCATGTTCCATTATTGAAACAAGTTTTTTACACTTTGTCAACTTCATTATTTTTTAATTAATTGTTACAAAGAAATTATTCAAATGAAATTATAAAAATAAATGGTTCTCCCTTCTTCTTGCATTCCTATTTATAATCACTGCAACTATTATTATTATTATCGTATATGTTTCTCTTCTATGTGTAAAATTTTCACTCCACTTTTCCCCTCCATCACGCATTAAACAAGTTTTAACATGAATTTTGTAGAATGATGCAATGTTTTAAATCCCCACCACAAAAAATATTTAATTTTGAAGAACAGTGTGAGAGTGTCTGCGAAAATGTGTCAACATCAATTCTAAAAAATTCATTAATCCCCACCAATTTGATAACACGTACTTTAAAATTATATACAAAACAAAAAAAACCCTTCCTTAACGAAATAGACAAGTAATTAAAACACAATTTTTTAAAGTTTACAGAAAATCAATATATTTTATTGATTAAAGTAAATAATTATTGAAATTGTATGTTTACTGTTATTAAAAAATTAACTTTTATATTTGTTTCCTGGTTTGAGGTATATAACATTCAAGTATTCTTGCTATAATATCATAATTTTCTTCTCGCAGACTTGTTAAAAATTAATAAATGCATATGGACCTCTCGTTCTTATAGCAAGATAAATATCTTTCTGAGTTTGAAAATTGTTTAAAGACTTCTGAAAGAAAAAAAAATTGAGTATTATTATAATTAACAAAAAAAGTAAAATCAATAATATGTATACAGAATTAAAATACATACTTCCCAAATTGGAACATGATAATCGTCCAAATTGAAGATTCTATTTGCCAGCAAACGTGGCCATAGTCTATGCATATCAATGCATTCCACAAATATATCACACAAATCTTCCAATTTTTCACGATGAAATTTTTCTATTTTTATAAAAAAATTTTCACTATTAATCTAAAAAATGGTTAGGTTTTTTTTGTTTTTATTTTAAAAATTATAACTGAAAATTTGACGTTAAACAGACGCTTTTTATATTAGCAAAATATCCCACTTTTTTCCCTCTCCATCACCACCGGAATTTTTTTTTTCAAAAAAAAGATTCTCGCAACACTTTTCAAGGTTAAATCTACCCCCCCTCACCTTTTATTTCAGGGTTACATTCCCCTTGCCTCTTACACCCCCGCAAGTCTCCTCTTCAAGGTTACATCCCCTTCCCCTTTGGCCCCTGCAAACCTCTTTATTTCAGGGCCATATTCCCCTTACCCCTTGCACCCCCGCAAACACACTTTAGTTCAGGGTTACATCCCTCTTACCCCTTGCACACCCGCAAACCCCCTTATTTCAAGGTTACATTCCACCTTGCCCCTTACACCCCCGTATTTTCCACAACTCACACGGATACGCATCTACACACTCTTACACTCACACAGACACGCACTAATACTAATCTATCCAGAACCGGTGTTGTTATACTATTCTACTACTATTAAATACTATGTATTAACTTTATTTTTAGGTCAACTGATTGTGATGGCTATGTTTTTAAAATGACAAAAATAAAAAGGACCTCAGCCAAAATTTTGTGAAAAATGTATGCAGTATAGGATTAAAACAAGGAGAGGGTCCTTTATGTTTATTTCATAAACATTTTGCTTCCCCATTGTGTAAAGCAAAAAATTTGCTTCCTCGTGGAGGAAGTTATGAATTTCTCTAATCAATTGATTGATTTAAAACATTTCGAGTTAAAAACTGATTTAAATTAATTAAATTTTTTGAAAAATTAAGAAAATTTTAATTCATTTTGGGTGTAACATATACTTTATATATACGAATTTGCATCATTTTTTAAAAATATACATTTATGACAAACATATAAAAGTTACTTTCATTTCAAGATCTTTACCCAATATTACTCGCCTATAAGAGTAATTTTTATCTTTTAAGAGATGAATCCACATAATGTGATCCGTAGTCACTTGAACCGTCCAATCATCAGATGGAAGTGTAAAATTTTAAACATTTTTTGAGAGACCCATAAAACCCTCAGCACTTTCTTCTTCGGTTGCAATTCCTATTTCCATTATTGGTTGTAGAGAGTTTTTATTTTTTAACAAAAGTAGTAGAGCTATGAGAGTTCTAGGGTAGGTTTATATCTCGGCTAAGTTACCTACAGTCGGTAATGCAGATTTACCTACAGCCGATAATGCAGATTTGCCAACTGTCTGTAAGGTAGAAACCTGTTACAAATTTTGGTTCAACCAAAATGGTTGGTATACCATGGTTGGTAATTTCACTCCCTACATTTATACTCAGTATCCCCATTATTTACCCCCACTCATATTCTACGCTTGCGCATTAAACTTTCCACCACTCCTACTCTAACACATGCGCAATTTACCCTTTCTTTGGTGCTGGTACTGGCTTTGTTTGCTTTGGTGTTGGCACTGGCTTGTCTTGACTTGATTTTGACATTGTTATTATTAGAACTCACTAAAGAATAATGAGTAAATTAGCTAAATCTATCTTTATTTATACCCCACTCTTATTTTCACGCATGCGCAGTACCCCCACTTAACCTATTACGTTGTTGTATAGTGACGTCATTATTACGCTATGAAGAAAAATAAATAAAAGATTTTTTATTATTATTAAATACATTTATTAACCATGCAAATAATATTCACAAGCATTATAAAAATCTTTTAATGTAGAATTGTCTACTTCATCAGGACCCTGTGGAATATGTAGTCGTAGTACATTGGATGGTTGTAGTAACCATTCACGAAGAGTATATACATTTTGTACAGCACAAATACTATAGTTATGTTTATGATTTGTACATGTAATAGTAGCAGTAAACTGATCTAAAACCAGTTTTTTCAACGATGGACATTGTGAATCATCTAAATTTATTACTTTCAGTGTATATTTTTCTAACCATCTTTGTTTTTCTAATCCTTTAACATAATCAGTACCGACTAATATTTCTTTTAGTAGTGATGGTAAATCTTCATAAGGTATGTCACCATCAGTCCAATAAATACCATGATAATTATTCGTAAGCCATCGGTTCTCACACTTGTACCTTGAAGGTAATTTGCTCCAGGCATATGGTGGCTCGAATAGGAAGACCAATGGATGAGCATCTTTTTGAAGAGGTAGGATGGCTAGCTCCTTTACAACAAACTCAATGTAGGCTCTCTTAAAGCATTGGATATCTACGACGTACGCCATGGTATCTGTAATAGAGAAATGACTCAAACCTCCAACAGCTGCTCTTTTTATAATCTTATCCCCACCTCTCTCATTTACCCCCACCATTCATGATACGTTTTTAACAATACTGCTAATTGGTGTGTATTGAATGATACGGTCATGAATAATTAAGCAGTAGGCAGTTGTATTGTCGGGAAAGTTATCACTTGCTTCAAATTTCAGTCGAACATCTACATCTGCTTGTTTTAGAAATTCATTTTGTTTTGAACAATCTATAACAGCCAATGCTGCATACTCTTGAAAGGCATTTTTTGCTAACGAAGGTTCATGATCTTTTCCATAGTATGAATGTTAAAAATTACAATACATCTCATAGAGAACAGAATACTGACCCTGATTAAAATTTAAGTTCAAATTACCATAAGGATAGTATTGTGAATTTAAGAAAAGTTTAACATTATTTAAATTACAAGTATCAAAAAAGTTTGAATATCTTGCTCGATTTTCTTCTCGATTTGTTTGAAGACCAAAGATCACATATCGAGGTTTTTCAATTTGTGTTGATGTTTTTACAGTCCATACATGTTTTTGAGTAGCAGGAATCATAGGATACTCATGCAAATCCCATGATCTAAAACTCATTGTTATTGGTGAATCTTTTTCAGTGAATTTTAACAATTCAATTTTCTGTCGATCACCAACAAATAGGTATGGAATCATCCATTCAACTTTATTTATTACAATTTTGAATTCTTCTCGTTCTAATCCTTGAATATTAACTATAGCATTAAGATCTGTACGAGATCTTGTTAAAATAAGTTCATGTTTTGCATTTACAACAATTATTCGATAGTCTTCAGCAAATCCAAGAATCATATTTAGTCGTACATTTACATCAAAATATCCATGATCATTAGTTACTCTACTAGCATCATCATAGTCAATAAAACCAGCATTCTCAGCATTCTCTTCCATTTTTATAGCTACAACAAAAAAAAATATGTGACGTTCCACGAGGAAAGGGACCTTAGCTGCAAAAAAATGAAAATTGAGTTTTTGATATCAGTCGATAGATCTTGAGTTGCTCTTTCAGATACAAAAGTTAAAAATTGTACTTTTCTATTTAGTTTTTTTGTTATAAAGCATTAATCATGACCATGTTAATCGCGTTCCAGCACGGACTACAGAAACCATCCCCACCACTTCTACACTAGTATACTTGTCGTAAGCGTGAGCTGTAGGAACGATGTAGTAGTAAGGTGGTGGGGCTGATTTTCGATGGAGGGTCTCAACCAATCAGGGACGCTCTACTTTAAATACCTTTTCTGGAAAATGCGTCTATTGCAGCTAAGGTCCCTTTCCTCATGGAACGTCACATATATATAAACTATAATTTTTTGTTTTTTACTTTTTTTCTTGATAAACTCTTAGACCGAGCTTTTTCAGGAACTGTATGTTCTGAGGTGTTAACCTCTTGTGATTTGATTGAAGACTGAATGTCTTCTGACATGGTGATTCACTTATATAGTTTCCACCAGTTTTTCTATGGTATACAATACCCATTATGTTGACTTGATATGTAATCGAATTGTTATAGTTTCACCTCGAAAATTTATCAAATCTCAGCCTTGATCAACAATACGTAGTTGAATATTATATATTATCTTTACGGCGATCGGAAGATAAATGATGTGAGACGGTATGTATGTACCTTTTTATTGTTAATGTATGCGCCAGTGGTAATGCTGCATTTAATTCTGATAGCATTTACCTTTAGAATTGCTGCTGGCATATCAGATGTATGAGTATTATTGGCAGTTAGAGCTCGTGGAGTGAAATCTAATAATTCACCAATAAAATCCTCTTGTGTAAAATTTACATTAAGACCACTTTTTATTTTTTTACGTAAAGTATTGTTATTTAGTTTTATACTTATAATTTTTGACCTATCAGAAATAGAGTTTTGAATAAATTTTTCAATATCTTCTATTTCATAACTGCCAGGGGGTATAGTAATTACATGATTACCAATATAAAATTTTTTTTTTCCTTCATCTATATTTGGTATTGAATTAAACGTTAACAACTCAACTAAACCAAGCACATAATTTTTATGAGGTAATAATTCTATAGGAGGAAAATATTCAGCCTCGAGTATAGACGAATTTCTTGAGATAGTTAGAGTGAACGTTCATCCATGATGATGACTTGATAGACTAAATAGATATATAGATTTAATACCATTTAAATAGAGTATATTTCTGAGTCATTTCCAGTTGTCCACATAAAAATTTAAGACATAAATGGCCACAATAAAAGGTATCATAATCTTGATAATTTTGATGATTTTACTGTATTAAAGTATTATAGCTAAGATAATTAACAAGTTCAAATGGTGGTTGAAGATTACCAAAACTGTCAAAATATTCTGCTTTATTTTTAACTTTCTTAAATGCTACCCAATGCGTACCTGGACCATCTATATTATCGAGATTTATAATGACTGATTCATTTTTTCCAGGGCCTCCTATAGGTAACTCATTTCGCATAAAAACTCCTCGAAAATGAGGAATTTTCATTGCTTTAGCATACTTGATTATATCAAAATTATTTAGTGGTCGTTCAGGAAGATTTAAGACCTTTTTTTTATTCCTTGACCCTTTTGATAAGGTTTTAAATGTAGACCTTATCCTTTTAACAAACGGTTTAAATGCAAGGCCAAGCCCTGTTTATATGGTTTCAAGTGAAGACCTTTTGCAAATTTAATTTCTTCCATTGCTCTATTATGACGTTGAGCTTCTTTTAATTTTTCTTTGGCTGCACTTGCATCATTGACGGCTTTTGCAACTCCTGCAGCTCCTCCAGTAAGTACTCCAAGAGCGCTGAGTCCAGCAAAAATAGGAATTAATGGTAATAGACCACCAACTTTTGTTGGTACTGGAAGAATGCAATGTGTTAATACTTTTTTTCTACCTCCTACTCTTTTGACAGCTTTTCGAGCAGTTTCAATAGCTGCCTTGATTGTTGAGCTAGGATCATTGCCTGGAATAATGGATTTCCTAGCAGCATCAACAATTCTTTTTAACCCCAAACCTAATTTTGATTTAACCTTCATTGTACCAGAAATAGCTAAAACAGCAGCTTTTTCACCAATACTAGAATCCTTTGATATAAACCTTTGCCACGCCTTATCAGATAGTACTCTATCTGCAACGTTTCTTGCTTCAACGTTTTCTCGATTTTTTGAGTATGCAATATCGTGCTCCTTACACGCCACGTCTAGTGGGTTGATACCAGGATCACCGCGAGCAAGACGTTTTGCTAATTTTGTACCTGGTCCACAGTATTGGTAATTTACAAATGCAATTCAAATGGTAATTTATTTATAAGATTATTAATCAAACCTTTCCCTCGAGAGCGACGATGTAAAATCATACTTTACTCTATGAAAGTTGAAAGAGGAATGACTTGAAAGCTATATATGCGTTGTATTTATACCTTTTGCGGCAGTCTACATCAGGATGCGATTCAAAGAACAACCTCACAAGCTTTCAGTCGTGAATCTGGATTATCAATTCGTCTCATCCCGAAAACTAATAAAAAAACGATCGAGTTCTCGGAGTATCTCGGAAACGTCAAAGATAATGGGAGAATTATTAAAAGAAACTCAAAATCTTAAAAGATCCTTAGAGAGGTATATTAGTATTTTCAAAAGTTTAATTTTATCTAATATATAGTTAAGATTATTAGTTTGGAAGTTTTATATAAATATATTTTTTAAAGGTTAATAAACAAATAAATTGTAGGTTAAATGTATTGTTTAATAAATAATACTTAGCAAAAATTGACATTAAATTAAACCAAATTATACATTAAATAAAAATTAACGATTTATTCCTTAATAATTCATTATTTATTTCAATTTATTTAATTTATAGTTTGTAACAATGTGTAATTTTTAAAATTTACATGATTAAAATTATACCTAACTAATTTTAATTTATAAAAAAAATTACCACTAATTCGATAAATTTATTTGATTTATATTTTTTAACAATGTGGAATTATCAAAATTAACATGGTTAGAATAATAAATAACTTTAATTTGTTAAAAGAATTATTATTTTTCGATAACAGTTATTAATATATTAATAGTAATTTATTAATCTTTTAACCAAAAAAGTTAAAATCATTTTTCTACTAACCTCCGTTTAATTTTTACATGTTTGAATTTGCAAAACGAGATACTCGTGAAGCTCGCTCGGATAGCCGAGAAGATCGTTTTATTAAAACAAAACAAACTATATTCTCGGTTGTCAAAATTAAAAAGTCCGATTTTCTCGCTCGTTTCTCGGATCGTCTTGCTCATATGCATCACTACAATTAAAGTATAAGTTCTTGGAAAAAGTTGTAAGTAACGTTGATGGAGTTGAGTACTTGCCATTTAGTGATAATAAAGAAGTAATTTCTCCTAAAGATGCAAAGAAAAATTCAATATTTATATTTGATGATATTGCATGTGAGAAACAAGACAATGTAAGGGCTTTCTTTTGTATGGGTAGGCATGTTGATATTGATTGTTTCTATCTTTGTCAGACATATGCAAGAATTCCTAAACATCTAGTGCGAGATAATGTTAATTTATTAGTTCTCTTTCGTCAAGATGAAAAAAATTTGCGACATGTATATGATGATCATGTTAATACTGATATGACATTTAATCAGTTTCGAGAGCTATGTTCAAAATGTTGGAATTCGGACAAGTATGGTTTTGTTGTTATTGATAAAGACTCCGATTTAAATAAGGGAAGATATAGAAAAGGATTTGACAGTTTTGTAACACTATAAATATATGATCATCTCTTAAAATGATATTAGTTTTGGTTTAAACCTTGAAATATCAACATGTATCATAAAGAGAAAGAATATCTTCATCAAATTGCTAAAGCTAGTGAGGCAATTAGAAAGAAGCATCGCATATTGAAATTGGGTAAAGAAGATACTGAAAATGCATTAAATGAAACTTTCAAACCTATAGTACAACCCTTGCAAAAAATTGTGAACTCGACTAATATTAAACGTGAAAATTTTAAAATTGAAAAAAAGGAAGAAGAAAAAGATGAAGAAGAAGAAGATTATATAAGTGTTGATGAGAATGAAACTATTCCAGGATTTGACTATGAAAAAGTAGTTGGTAAATATTTGTCTTTGATTAATCATAACAGAAAGCAGTGTTTGGATATAGTATATGGAGTACGCAAACTCAGAGATGGAACTTTTATGATTGGTGATAAACCAATAAGTTTTGATAATCACTTGGTGAATATTGGAGATAAACGTTTTAATGTTACCACTGGGTTATTAGAACTTTTATTTAAAAATAAACCTGAGAAAGCATATATTAGTGAAGAAGATGAGAGAAATTATAAAGAAATTCCCACAAAGAAGGGAACCATATGTCAGTGGTAGTTCACTGCCCAAATTTATGATTACAAACAGAAATTTTAAACCAGACTATATCTATTGGGATGACCCGAATGAATTGGTTGATCGTCTTTGGCTTCTCATAGCATCTCAATCAGCTGGTAATCCTAGTCATAATAATGAAATAATGTCCATCATTGAAGAAGTGCGAGAAGCTAAATTCATATATTAAGATGTGTTTCTGCAAATTTCATCCATTTCAATCAGGAGCATTGACGTGTTCAGACATCCCCTCAATAGAGGAGGAACTGTAGCAGCAAAACGAGAACCACCTGGACCACCTGGAGTTGGTTTTAAAGTAGATTCAGAAGATAATTACCCAGTAAAAAATAAAAGATACAAGAACGTCGGATTGCGGTTACAAGCTCAAAAGCTGGTAAACGAATCCATGAGAATCTCGGATACAAGCACTTTTCGGTATCCGAAATGATCATAAGCTTGTAAACGCACTGAAACGGACGACTTTTGTAGGTCTTTTAATCAAGAAAAAA